CAATACAAATTTAAAAGCAAATTTTCATCCATACCGTTGAGAAAAGACCTCTCCACAGATTTTCCAACCTATTAACCTGTCTCTGTCGGTTGGTCTGATAAAGTAGGAGTTTGCCAAACTCTTTTTTTTCTTCGTCGGTCATTTTATCTTGCGCCGTTGCCAAATCCTCAACTCGATGCACCGCGTCGTTGTGTTCCGCTCTGAGACCGTGATAAGCAAAGTCGTAAAACTCTCGTTTCACCTCCTCGCTGCATTTGCAAGTCTCTGCCACCATGGAGAGGACTGCGCTGTAGAGCTCTTGTAGCCTTTTACTGATTGTTCCCAAGAGATCGAGCGTGACAGGAACTTTCAGTTTGTCTTCTTTTATTTCTGGCAATTCTAACACAGACGTTACATTTTTATAAAGGCGATCGTTGAGGTCTTTCAGCCTTTCGTTGATTTCACCCTCTTTGTCTGCTCTTTCTGGTTCAATGTAATTTGTGCTATCTTCTGATTCATCTTCCCGGTGTGAAATGTCAAAGTTCTGGGCTAAATTCTTCAAAAGTAAACAGAACGTTGCATGTCATCAGAAGGAAAAGTAGTGAGGTGAGTTACAATTTGCTCATAGCAGGATTAATGCGTAAATACTTAATTATAAGGCCGTGCGAGAACTCTGAAACAAGACGCACCGCTCGCCACACGCGTGACTATATTATTCTGTCGTTATCACCAGGAGTCTTTAGGTAATGACTAGTGGGTACTTATCTTTGTGCACGTGATTCGGGGATAAGCTAAAAAGCGCGCGATACTTGTGAATATGCTCTGGAAATTTCTTAAAAACTGAGGACATACCCAACGAAAAATTGCCAAAAGGCGAATCAAGAAAACATCTGCCTACCTGCTCTGGCCTGTCTCCTCTTATTCCAGCCAAGTCCTCTTTCGGCTTCGAACTTCTGGTCTTCCACTTTTGACACTGTTCTATAGTAGATGAAATCAAAAGAAACGTTTTCAGAATTAGGCTTTGCGAAAAACTTTTGGAGCATTGAGCAATTGTTTAAAGGTGTCAGGGAAATTCAGCCCAATTGTATTGGAAATTATATATATGGCAAGGTATGTGTATGTCTAGAGAAGCAAGAACCAAAACAAAGCGTAAAATGTGGTTGCCAACCTCTTGAGAAGTGTCGTGAAGTTCTTGTTTCACTCTAGACAGCTCCTCTTCCAGTTGGTGAATTCTTGTACGTAATTTATTGCTCTGTTTCATCAAAAAGTACACAGGAAAATTTTATTTTAGGTTTTGTTTTTCCCACACGGAAAGAATTAGATAAAGTATCCATCGTTTGACAAGGGATAGTTTGTTACCATGCTTGTAGGAAACGCGAAAAGGGAAAAGGAATGAGGAAAAGGCCTTCACTGAATTCAGTTACCAACCTCTTCTAAACTGTCTTGAAGCTGTTTTGTCATACTCTGCTTTTCCTTTTCTAGCTCCTGCTTTCTCATTTCCAGTTGATGACACTATTCATTTATGAATGTAAATCCGTTAAAAGTTACAAAGAGCTAATTCTGTTAAGAATAGGAAAAACTAAATTTTACTTCTCAAATCTCTCACCTCTTTTTTCAAATGTTTGCAGGTTTTCTCAATGACATCAATTCCATTCACCATCTGCAGTAAGATAACAAATCAAACTTTAAATTTTCTCAAGCTGATGACTCCTCTATACGCTAACCTCTTGCATAGTTTAAACTTTTTTCGGGAAGAACGTTTCAGTTCTTACAGAGGAAAAAACTCTGAAAATGCTCTTAGGAACATTTTAGCTCGTTTTGCTCCATATCCTTCAGCTTTTGACTTAAGGTCAAAGTCATCCATGCACACAGGAAAGATTCTTAGAGAGATATAAACTAAGTCTTATCCTATTACACTTGTACTGCTAGAAGTTGATAATTTACCTGCTTTGAGTCGTTTGTTCCTGGTTCGACATCCTCTCCTGATAACAAGAGATCTTAAAATAAAGTTGCATTGAGAATATTTTTCATTACCTACACTTTCATTTATAAGAAAAAAAACATATGTCATTCACTCTTTGTAAGACTTAAAAACGGGTGAAGTGCCGCATAAAAAATAACTCAACAAAAGTTGACACAATAGTGGAAATCATCCCTAGTCCCTTACTAAAAGTACCATAGCTTAGAGTTATACAGAGAGCACGAGTTAATACGCGCTAAGAGGTTTTTGTTCAGCGTATTTCGTTCATTTGTCTTCGTTCGACTTAGAAATGAGTCTAGTATATCATTAAGAATAAACTACCAATATTTAAAACGTGAAACGAGATCATCCCTAATCGCGAGTCAGCTTCCGAATACAAAGTAACATTTCGTACCCTGAAGTATTTCAGCCACTTTTTTAAGCCTTATTTTGGTTAGAGCATCAGCGAGCCTTTCAAGAGTAGCATCGTTTCCCTCCTGATTGATCCAGGCTACAATGACTGTGATGCAGCACTCATTGGTGACGCCCTTCTTGTCATTCTCAATCGTGCCAATAACAGCTTCTTGGAAATCTAGATGTCGTGCCATCTGTTTCCACTTGTCCCCAATCTTATCAGGCAATTGATGTTGGTGCATGACGTGGTCACTCATCAGTTTCCGGCTGCACTTAATGCTGGAACAACCTGCTAAAAGTACCGTAGCTTAGAGTAACACAGAGTACATGTTAATACGCGCTAACAGGTTTTGTTCAGCAAATTGGTTATAGTGAAAAAGTATGGAAGCGATAAAATTTTCCTGTATAAATAAAATCGCACTCAAAGATGTTCTTGAGGATCAGTGATCGATGATCTGGTGCTAGTACGCCAGTAGGCTATTCACGTATTATTGACCGAGCGGGAGGTAAAGCTGGTCGGGCGCTAGCAAAGCTTTTGTTTGCGTCATCTTGGTAGACGAGGACTGAACCCTTTCAAACATCTGAATGGCCAGCACAAACTCTGACATGTTAATTTAGAACAGTGTCCCCAATTACTTCTGCTGACCAAAATGATGTGAGGTATCTATTTTACTCGTTATTCAAATGAGCCGTGAATCATTGACATAATAAAGATGTAGGCTACGCTTTGTTTAACATCCTGATCCCCGAAAAAGTTTTTTTGTTTCTGCAGGATAGATAACACCACTTGTCTGCTAATTCTTAGGAAGAATTGAAAGATGATACTGCTGGTAATACGTTTTAAAGCTACAATTGTCTTTGACGGACCAAATATGGGGGAGAAAGCAATTCGATGATACGATATGCCGCAAACGATAACGATATACAGCGTAGAAAACTGTCAATTTTGCTGTCAGCGAACTGCATCTTAAGTAATTATATAGCTAAGAGACTCCGAATACGTGGAATGCCGGTTACGTATACTTTGAAGGGAATTGTCCCTTTGCCGTTCTTTATGCGGAAGTCAAGGGCAAAGGGGCAAAGTAGACTGAGCAACAACAAGGTTTTATACACGCACACGGAAACACTGAAGGAATATGATAAAATAGAAGATTGATCCGAAGAAAAAATATATTAACTGAACATTAAATACCTCACTCATATTTGATACATGCAATGCACATAATTAAAAAAAAAAATAACCAAAATTTTCAACTCTACTGCTACAATGTAATTTCGCTAAGAGAAATTATCTACCGGAAATTATTGCGGCAATATTGGAACTTAGCTAAGATAGACCCTAACTAAATTCCGCTATGATGTACTTACCCATTTCTGAGGATTTAGAGATATTTTCCATGTGTCTTGTACCCTTCAAGATAGCGTGTCAAAGTAATCAGTTTCGTAGGAGTCAAACAGTATTGTCTGTCAGACAAAACAATATTAATATCTTAGGCAAGAGCTCGTACGAAAATTTTCATTTTAACTCAGGAGTTGTACATCTTTCAGACGGCCGTTTTGTTTACCTGTTTGAAAGGTAAATAACCTCTTCCAGGAAAACTGGAGAATCGCAAGGTGCACAATCTAGAGCTAAATGGAGCTAGCCAGAAATGATTTCCTTGTCGGATGTTGTCAAGCTAAGCCAGTCGTCATGTGACAGCAGGTCAGTGAACCGTTAACAACCAATGGGGTTTTTTAAATTAGAAGTTACAATGTCATCAGATTTCTATAAAAAAACTCGTATGTGTTATTTTAGAGGAAAGAACGAAGAACGGCACACTTTTGTCAAGTCAGCATTTTCTTTCTCTTCTTTCGAAGATGGTTGACTGGAAGTAAACTGCTACAGTCGTTGGGATTAATCTCATAGTCACGAAAACCCCTCATACCTACACCAGCTTCTGAGAACTAGTGAAGACTCAAAACTGTCTTTAGTGTTTACAGATAATCATCCAGCCCAAATTATGAGATAGCTTGAGAGTCCACGCGAGCCTCGAAGGCGGTTACGAAAGGCGCGCGCACTTTCCGAGAAAAGACTGAGGAAAAGAGCACTTTTAATTATAAATGGTTGATAAACATATTAAATATATGTGGGATTGATACATGCTGCTTGGAACCGATCTAACATAATCAAAGTTGATTTTTGTTCCACGCCAGCTAATTAATTGATGAAAAATAATAAAATGGAATCGCGTACGGTGATGACTTGTATCAAGTCGTGCGTGACTCGCATCAACTCGCGGGTGACTTGTATCAATTCGTGGGTGACGCTTAAAATAACGTGAACCTGACAAGTTTTCAATTGTTTATGACTATCCACCAATTTTATAAAGCTCAGTCGCTACAAGATGCCTAATTTGTGTAGCAAATTGTCTAAGTTCTCAGTGGCCGAGGTCGATAGATAGGTAAACTTAACAATCCTTACTTAAATAGTTTTGATTGTATACAAATCGCATTAGATCACAAATGTTTGTTGGAGCGTGCTAGTGGTTTATTATTTTCACATATTTCTGTATAGGATAGAAAAATTAATAAAAAGAGTCACATCGAAACTTCCATATTAGTTCCATTTTCGAATGGACACAAATATGCAGGTCAAGCAAAGGTGAGGTATAAAGCAAATTATTTTATCATAACCTCTGCGGAAACATCATCTCTGCCACCAGACGAGGTTTTCATTAAAAGCGTAACTGTTTTATTCGGCTCTATCATTTCTCTAAAAGATTTAAATCATTTATGTATCCACTGTATAAAGTAACTTGCCTGAAATTTCAGACCAGAGGTTACAGTTGGATAATTGCTGAGCTTCCCCGTACAGCAAAGGTGTTTTTCCCGGTTTTACAGTTTTATGTACTGAATTTCGGATCAAACGACATCGATCATGGATGACGAAAGTCTGGAAAGGTTCCAGGTTAAGCGGAGGAATACCTTCCTTTACATTAATGCAGAGGTGCTTAGTAATCTAATTTCCTTCGAATAGCTTTCTCCATTGGGGCTTAGTTAAGATTTGTACAGTGACCGTTGGTTATCCTTCAATTTACTTTAACTTTCTCTTTCGTGGACGCCTCCGCAAAAACAAGAATCCCTCAACTTTAAGGGAGGGGGGTACCCCTCCTTACTGTAGAATACGAATGACCTGGTTAAAAAGCTTACTAAGGTAAACCAATCTATTTGCGAAGAAATCGTTCGCCTTCAAGCCCTTTAAAATAGAGATAAAAGTAAATCGTTATGTGGGGTGTTAGAAACTTGTCCTAAAAAGCGATTAAAGGATTACGATTTTAATGGAGAACTCGAAGTCACAAAAAGGTACGAAAAAAAAAATCCCTACGTGATGCTGGTGCGAGCCCATGAAACTTAACATACTGAGTGGCTGTTTGGAATCAGGTGATACGAGGCGATTGCGTGACGCATAACGAAAGCGGAAGGATACCCTCTCTATAGATGAATCCTCGTTACCATGTTAAAGAACATGTTTATTCTTACGGAATATTCTTTATTTTGCTAGAATTTGAGAAGTCTGCAATTCAGTTTTCATTTGAAGTACCGTCTAAAGTAAATGGTTGATGCGAAATGTCAACGAAAACCTGCTGCTCCTTTCTCTCAGACGCCTTTTTTTTTAACCAGCGCCTTAAAAGGCCGATAGTCCAATAAATGTCAGCAATAACTGGTTAACTTTTAAAAGCCACCACGACTTTTAAGCTCGATGAGCAAACATGAAATCTGTTCGGTGTCCACTAACAGACTACTACCAACCAATTTTGTTTTTATTGTACGTTCTCAATCAGAACTAAAATAGTGGTGCTGCTTTTGAACCGAACGATTTGGAAAATCCTTAAGGATAGAGAGTGACTCATCTCAACAAATTATAAGAAATCCGACATGATTCTTAGTTACCTCTAATAATCCCTGTTTCTTCTGCTCAAAAGCCGGTTGCTTCTGGTAGAACTCTCTGTTTCTGACCTAAATCCCGTTGGTTTAAACAACTCATTTTATATCAACAATCCGGAACTTTTCCAAGGTCATTATTGCCCTTTTGTTTGGCAGCCTTTAAATTAACAAACCCATTTGTATTGTTTAAATATTCGTGTGGGCATCAACTTTGTAGGCCTGGCACACGCGAAATCTTTGAGGAGGTTCGTTTGTTTCTGATATCGTTACCGAAACGTTTTTCCTGCATGTTATTAACACAGTTTCCCGTCATCATCAAGCAATATCAAGCATGAATATTTTTGGTGAGACAATGTTTGAATTTTATTTCACGATATATTTTGAATTGATGTTGAATTGTTGGTTGTTCTAGGTTTTGATGTATTAGCGAGTGCGCCCGTCGTGCACACACGTGATTAACCATGACTCCTTGCGGGTTCTAATATATTCCATGTGCTTGATATGAGATAGCGACCAAGTTTGGCTCATCCTCGGTGTAAAAACCTGTGAAGCTCACGAGTGACGTAAAACAAAGACAACAAAACATTATAAACAATAGCGTACAGCAAAACAATACCTCATGAAACAAAGAAAACCTGGTCAGGTGTTTACACCGAGGATGACCCCAAATTACTCTTAGATCGCAGCTAACTTACATGGTTCAAGAGAAAAACCAGACTTCTAACCACCTTGTTAAAAACACGGGGCTTCGCATTCTGCTTCCTATACAATTCCAAATGCTTGCAATGTCTTTACGTGCAAGTTGCACGGGTGGACGTTATTGGAGATAAAAGTACTGGGTTCTACACAATTATAATAAAAACAGTTTAATACTTATATTGCTCAATTTCAATATGTTAAATGACCAAAGTTGCAGTACATAAAATGCTAAAACAGTTTATCTATCATAAACTTAAAATAAAAATTAATGGACAATTCAATTACTAACATATTAAAAACAAATAAGAAATTTATTATATATAAATATCACATAAGATAAAATCTGATGAAAAGCAAGTCTAAAAAGATAGGTCTTTAACATTTATTTAAAAGTATGAACTGTCTCTCATTAAGTAAATCCTGGGGTAAATTTTTCTATAATTTTGGAGCAGCCGCCAAATGTCAAGACATTTGGTAACTGCTAAAGTAAACCTTGAGAAGATCTGACATTATATGGATTGCTACCTATAATGCTAATCAGTTCACATGCATATTTTGGAGCAATCCTATAAATTACCTTAAATGTAAATAAAATGACTTTGAAATCTATTCTAAATTTAACCGGTTACCAATGCAAAAAGTTAAAAACTGTTGTAATATGAGAGTATCTTGGTATATTGTATAAAAGCCTAGCTGCTTAAAGTTTTTGTAATTTCATTAATGGAACCTTATCATCCCCGGTCAAGTTCATATCAGCTTTGGCTCTTTTGTTAACTCTTCGTTGACTTTGTGCGTTTGCTAGATCTTCGTTAACTTTGTGCCTTTTGCCTAATATTCGTTTACTTTGTGCCTTCGCTAGATCTTCGTTGACTATATGAGCCTTTTGCTAAATATTCGTTGACTTTGTGCGTTTGCTAGATTTTCGTCCACTCGTCACCTAATATTATATGCGATTTCATTATCTCTTCCAGCCATTCAAGAATCCATAGGATTTATTGCTGAATAGGACGTAAGGTGGCACGAATTTTCTTCGTTTCCTCTTTTTCCGGAAAGGATCTTCTTCACAGTCTCTTTCACCTGTAACAGAAGGATCATTTACTCTATGGAAAATAATGTAGAGGCACTATGGAACCAGTTGACGAGACTGATACTGGAAAAGAAGGAGCGGGTGTTGAGCTAATTCGGTTTTTTCCCTACTATTTGTTACTCTATTACTAGATAGAATTGCCATTTCATTGACGTTTCTTAGGCCTCAGTCTTTCTCACTCGAAAACCAACAAACAGACAGACAAAGGGGAAAGTCTTTTGCCGGAATATTTCACAGTTTCTCAATTACAAAGTGAGTCAGAGTAAATCGGATATAAAACGATCTGTTACAGGTAATTTCCTAGAGACATTAGAGAATTTATTTAACATCTTACGGGACCTACATTAGTAAAATACGTCCCGAACTTTTTATCCTCTCTCATAGTTTCTGTTACTGGACAGGTGTTCTGTTCAGCTGGCATGGCCTGCTTGGGTTTGGTGCCTGAGTGTCTACATTGTCGTCTCAAGTTCTATGCAGCAGAGTGAAACAATATTATGTTAGGAAAGAATAAGCTAATGTCTTACGTAGCCATACGTCAAGAACTGCTTTCTAACGAGCCGTGCGGGATCCGTGAATGTTTGGTAGGTGAGTCCAAACTTGAATTTAGAAAGTCTGTTTACGAGCCAGTGACACACCAGTGGCCGGTGCTTAACTCCGGTTTACATAGCACGAAGCGACTAGGAGAATTTCTACTCCCCCCTAGATGGGATGCTAGTCCATCGCAGGGTTACCCCCCAGCATTAAATTTGCCGGTACCCATTTAAACACCTGGGTGAAGAGAGGCACGGTGAAAGTAAAGTGTCTTGCCGAAGAATACAACACAATGTCTCCGGCCAGGGCTCGAACCCAGACCACTCGACCCGGAGTCGAGCGCACCAACCTTGAGGCCACAGCGCCTCCACTTCATTTAGAAAACAGTTTTTTTTCTCTTCTCAAGACATGAGAAAGTGAAATATTTAAACTTTATTGGTAATATGCGATCCTATCGTTGAAAAAACTTTTTTTTTTGTTTCTTGTTTTTGAGTTATGAATTTGTTAGTTTGTTTCCGATTTGAGATTATTTTTGTACAATCTGCTCTTTGATCTTTTCCAAAACAAACATGAAGCTTTGGAATCAATAAAATTAAATACCGTTAGATTCTGTTGTTTATACCGAACAAGAGATTATAGTTTCTTGTACCAAACAAATCAAACAGATCCTTTCGTCATGAAACAAAGTCGTCCAGAACTTATGGTCTTGGGTTCGAATCTTTTAAAAGCACTTAGGATTTCTTCCTTTTTTTTTTCTAAAACGCTTCCAGATTTATCAAAAAAGATTCAAAAGCCCAGTTTTTCAATGAACAAGAAGCTCAAGGTAGCTTAGAATTATGCGCTGGAGGTTCCACCTTGTATAAAATAAGTACGCAATATGCACATAGTCGGAAATGCAGTTTGAAAACTGTGTCCAATACCCAATTAATCTCTGCTGTGTAGATCAAAAACTTTTGATCCAACATTAGGCAAACAGTATATTGCTATTGTGTTATGTCAACTGTTAAAATAAATGCATGATAATTATCTAGGACCAAGGACTTAAAAACATCTGACAGTGATGTAACATAGAGAAAATCTGCAATTACAAGAGGTGCAACCCAATTTGCAAACCACTATAGCTTTCGCTGTAAGTCAATTGTTAGTTTATGTCAAGTTTGTGACCAAGTCAACCATAACAGGCAAAACTGTCAGCAACAGGAGTCTCTGTTTGGCTGATTGCGACAATGCAGAATACATATTGTTCCCAATGTTCAAAATTTGAACCACCTTAGCTGAAGAGGTTGTTGAATTTCTGAAGTTAAAAACAAGTGCTGATCGAAACTGACTTTGCCACAAATTGTGTGCCTGCATTTGTTATACCAATACCTCAACATTACATTCACTGTAGGTTGCCGCAATAGTTTTAGTTAGATCAAGAATTCCTAGATGTGGATTTCTTTCGATGTCGGTGGAAAGCATAATATTGAAGTGATGGTGAAGCTTTTAAATACAGCAGGTTTTTAGTTGGCTCTAATTTGTGCTTTCTTATGATTTTTCTTGGGTTTTGTTTCCAACTGCTTAAAATAGCACTATGTTGTGCACAAGGTACGCAAATGTTTTAATGGCATCAATATCATAAACACTAGCGGGATCCTGGTTTGCCTCTACGTCATTTGCGAGTCGAATCAACTTAAGATTGCAATTTAGGCGATAAAAGTAGATCTGTGTAAGCTACAGGCGATTCATCCCCAACATTTCATATACGCGAACCAACCTTTTTAATACTAGCAAATATACCGCCTCTAAATAAAACAAAAAGATGATCGAGCACCAGAATTTCCCCTCGAAGGATCCTCGAAATTTCTTGACTACCAAATAAACGTGATGCATGTCAACGACTTGCCTGTATTTTGTAAACTATTCCCCATTTACCCTCGTTGTACGCGCAGTTGGCGTTATTAGTAATTCTTAGAAATGCTCATATTTGCTTATATTAATGAAGGTTCAGTTCTGCTCAGGTTAACCCCAGGTTAAGGTTAGGGTTAGAGTTAGGGTTGTTTCTCTAAGGCTATGTTGCTCTTTCCATGCATTTTCTCAACAGCTTAGCGCATTTTTTGCCGCCACAGAATATTTCTAGTAATCCCCCCCCCCCGCTCCCTTTCCCCACCAAAATCGACAATCAACACAGTGCTTAATATATCCGTGTACAAATTTGCATACAAAAATGTGATACCAAAAATAAGAAGAAATGGAAGGCATTTTACCACTCATGCATTTAGTGCACATGAGTAATAACGAGTATCCTTACCCTTGAGAAATGACCTCTGCACAGACTTTCTACCCTATCGACCTTTCTCTGTCGGTTGTTTTGAAGTTTTTGGAGTTTGCCAAACTCCTCTTTCTCTTTGTCGTTCATTTTTTCTGATGCCGCTGCCAAATCTTCAACTCGATGCACCAGATCGTTGTGTTCCGCTCGGAGACCGTGATATGCAAAGTCGTAAAACTCTCCTTTCACCTCCTCATTGGTGCATTTGCAAGTATCAGCCGCGATGGAGAGAACAGAGTTATACAACTCTTGTAGACTTACACTGAGTCTTGTTAAAACAATCAGTTTGTCTCTTGTTTCTTGCTCTTCCAACACAGACGTAACTTTACTACAAAGCAGCCTGTTGAAGTGTTTCACCTTTGCCGCGTCGATTTCAACCCCTGTATTAGCCCGATTTGGTGCGAGATTATTTCTGGTATCTTCTAAATCAACCTCTCGGAGTGAATTATCGAAGTTCTCGGCAAAATTCTGCAAAAGTACACCAAAACTTCCTTTTTATCACGCGAAAAAGAAGAAAAGTGAGTGAAAAGTATTAAATAGTGGTATTAATGTCGGTAAAAATGAATTTGTTAGGTCGTGCAAGAACTTTTAAGAAGACGCATTGCTCGCCACAGATAACTATATTTTTTCCTTAGTACCTGGAGCGTATTAATTAAGTAATGAGTATTCGCGAAGAGCATAAAATTAGAGCATAAAATGCGGTAACCAACCTCTTGAGATGTGTCTTGACGTTCCTGCTTTAGTATGGACAGTTCTTTTCTCAATTCTTGAATTAATCCGTGTAATTCCCGGCTCTGTTTCATCAAACAGTACAAAGTAAAATGTTCATTTCTTTTTTGTTTCCATGAAACTCAAGTACCAGATAATTAAAGTATCCGTCGTTTGGTATTTCCTTTTCCTTCGGTTTCTTTTGCTTTTGTAGCTCCTGCTTTATCACTTCCAATTGGTGGCACTATTCATTTGTGTATACAAATGCTTTTCGTGTTAGTAATGACCATTTCTGCCATTAAGGAATAACTAATTTTTTTCATAGAATTCCTCACCTCTCTTCTTAATTGATCGTAATTTTTCTCTATTTTATTCATTCTGTTCTCCATCTGAAATAAGATAACAAATAAAACTTTGAATATTTCACCAGCCGATGACTCCTCTATGGGCTTACCTCTTGCAGAGTTCATCTTTTTTTAGAAGGAGCCATGGTTTCAGCTCTTACAATGGACAAAATCGAAGGAATCCCTTTTACGAATGGTTAAGCCCCTTTTGCTAAAAGTCCTTTGGACCTAAATTCGTAGTCATCCATTCATCCAAGAAAGATTCTTAGAGAGATGTAAGACCTTATCCTATAACACTTGTGCTGCTGGAAGTTTGATTATTTACCTGCTTTGAGTCGTTTGTTCCTGTTCCGTCATCCTCTTCTGATAACAAGAGACCTTGAAATAAAGTTGTATGGAGAGTATCTTACATTACCTACACTTTTATTTTATAAGATAAAAGACATAAGACAGTCACCCTTCGTAAAACTTAGAAAAGGGTGAAGCACTGCATTAAAAATAACTTTCAAAAATTTAACACGTTAGAGGGAATCTTCCCTAATCCCCTGCTAAAAGGTACCATAGGCTTAAGGTTACACAGAGAGCATGTCAATATGTGCTAAGAGGTTTTGTTTAGCGTATTTCGTTCGTTTGTCTTCGTTCGACTTAGAAATGAGTCTAATATATTATTACGAATAAATTACTAATGTTTAGAACGTAAAACGAGATCATCCCTATTTACAAGTCAACTAGCGAGTACTGGAGTAGCATTACGTACCCTGAAGTATTTCAGCCACTTTCTTAAGCCCTATACTGGTTAGAGCATTAGCGAGCCTTTCAACAGTAGCGTCCTTTCCCTCCTGATTGATCCAGGCTACAATGACTGCGATGCAGCATTCCTTGGTGTCGCCCTTGTCATTCTTAGTCGTGCCAATAAAAGCTTCTTTGAAATTTAGCTGTCGCGCCAGGTTTTTCCACCTCTCCCCAACCTCATCAGGCAATTGATGTTCGTGCATAATGCGCTCGCTCATCAGTTTCCGGCTGCACTTAATGCTAGAACAATCTGCTAAAAGTACCATAGCTTAGAGTTACACAGAGTACATATTAATACGCGCTAACAGGTTTTGTTCAGCAAATTGGTTATGGTGAAAAAGTATGGAAGCGATAAAATTGTCCTTGTGTAACTAAAAATCGAATACAAAGATGTTTTTGATGATCGATGATCTGCTGCTAGTAAGCCAGTAGTTTATTCAGGTATTATTGACCGAGCGTGAGGTAAAGTTGGTCGGGCACTTGCAAAGCTTTTGTTTGCGTCATCTTGGTAGACGAAGACCGAATCCTTTCAGACATCTGATTGGCTAGTTTGATCGAAATTGAGACAGATATAAAAGGAAATAAGTCCACTTTTCGCAAACTCTGACAAGTTAGTTGAGAGCAGAGCCCCTAATCACTTCTGCTGAACAAAAAGAAGTGAGGTATCTAGTTTACTCGTTAGTCAGATGAACCGTAAAGACGTTGGCGACGCTTTGTTTAGCATCCTCCTCCCTGAAAAAGTTGTTTTTGTCGCTGCAGAGCAGCCTCAGAATAGATAACACCACTCGTCTGCCAATTCTTAAGCAGATGATACTGTTGGTAATGCGTTTTTAAGCTACAATTGTCTTTGACGGACCAAATATGGCGGCGGGAGCAATTTGAAGATACGATATGCCGCGCGCGTTAAAGATTCACAACGTAGAAAACTGTCACTTTTGTTGTCAATGGACTGCATGTTGATTAATTATATCGGCTAAGAGACCTTACATGATGAGCAGGAAGTTTTCTTTCCGAATATGTGCGGTATGCCGGTTAAGTAGCCTTTGAAGGGAATTTTCTCTTTGCCGTTTTTTTTTATGCGGAAGTCAAGGGCAAGGGAGCAAAGTAGACTGAGCAACAACAAGGTTTTTAAACACGCACACGGAAGCATTGAAGGAATATGATAAAAAACAAGATTGATTCGAAAGAAAAATAAATGAACTGAACATTAAATACCTCATACATATTTTTATCCCTACAGTGCACATAATTACAAAAAAAAAAAATAACCAAATTTTTCAATATCACTGCTAGTATGTAATTTCACGAAGAGAAATTATCAAMCCGGAAATTACTGCGGCAATATTGGAACTTAGCTAAGATAGACCCTAACTAAATTCCGTTATGATGTACTTACCCATTTCTGAGGGTTTAATGATATTTTCCATCTGTCTTGTACCCTTAAAGATAGCGTGTCAAAGTAATCAGTTTCCTAGGAATCAAACAATATTGTCTCTCGGACAAAACAATTTTAATATCTTAGGCAAGAGCTCGTCTGAAAATTTTCATTTTAACTCAGGAGTTGCACATCTTTCGGACGGCCGTTTTGTTTACTTGTTTGGAAGGTAAATCGCCTCTTCAAGGAAAACTGGAGAATCGCAAGGTACACAATCTAGACCCAACTGGAGCTAACTAGAAACTATTTCCCCCTCGGATTTTGTCAAGCTAAGCCGGCCGTCATGTGACAGCGGGTCAGTGAACCGTTAATAATCAAGGGGTTTTCTAAATTATTTAGAAGTGTCAATGTCGTTAGACTTCTGTAAAAAACTCGTATATGTCATTTTAAAGGCTAGAACGGCGCGTGTTTGTCAAGTTAGCAAATTTCTTTGACTTCTTTTGAAGATGGTTGAAATTAGAAGGAAATCAATGCACTCGTTAGGAGCAATCTCATAGTCACGAAATCCCGTATACCTTCACAAGCTTTTGAGATCAAGTGAAATCTCACAACTGTATTTAGTTTTTACTCATAATCATCCAGCCCAAATTTTGAGCTAGCTGAGAGTCCACGCGAACCTCGAGGGCGGCTACGAAAGGCGCCCGCGCAGTTTCCGATGGTCGGTAAACGAATTAAATATATATGGAATTGATGCCTGCTGCTTGGAGCCAATCTAACGCAATCGCAGTTGATTTTTGTCCCACGCCAGTTAATTAATCGATGAAGAATAATCAAATTGAGTCAGGTACGGTCCGTTCAAATTTATACGTTGGCACAGCGATTACTGATGGGGTGATGACTCGTATCTAATCGTGCGTGACTCGCATCTATTCGTGGGTGACTTGCGTCATGATCAATTCGCAGGTGACGCTTAAAAGACGAAAATTCAAAACAAAGATGGCGGCGTGAGGCTTTATTCTACTTTTGTAAGAAGTTTACCTAACAGCGTGTATTTAATGTGTTGAACGGCCACTGCGTATGCAGGAGACAGAAACGAAGATAAAGAAGACGATTCTCGGAGACATAAAGGTTGCTTCATATCTAAACGAAATATCCAACCGATATGAAATCTTGCGCAACGGCGAAAAAAGGAGAACTCAAGAGAAGGATAATCTGCCTGAAGTGGAAGAAGACTGGGAAACTTCAAGGAAAATAATATAATATAGCCAGAAGTTCTGAGTAGGTCCTTTAAGATGAGCCCGGGAGGCTGTCTTTGACGACCATTGATTGATTTTCTGAGCAGCAAACGTCTGTAAACATGAGATCGTAGGTGCTCGCGCGAACACACGCGATAGTCAGCGGTAGCTACAACAGATTATGAGCAAATGTCGATCTTATAGAATCCGGATTTTTAAATGCGCGAGAACGCGCGTGGGAATTGCTAAACTCATGAAAAAAAGTCCGGTGACCCCCTTCTTTTTATTGTTCCAGTATGATAATAACGTTGAAAGAAATCGTCAGAAAAAAAAAAATAGAAAATTCTACAGAAGGACATTTGCGATTAGGCCTTTATAGATTATGCTAGAATAATTTTGGGCATAATTTGAGCAAACTGGCATAATTTCTGCCAAGTAGCAATGCTAGCATGTTTTGATAATTATCGGATCATTTTTGACGGATGTTGCAATTTGATCATCATTCACCTCTACTCCCAAGCACTTGGTGATGTTATTCAATGTTTTACGTTTTAGTTTAAGTAGTAGCATTTGTAGTTCAATGTGAATCACTGAGCGGCGTCTGAAATGGTCTGAGCCCGGGTCTGGGGTGCACCAGAACCGGAAGTCACATTGTAGGTCATGTTGGTGTGCATGTTCACATGAACCACATGTTTATTTGAATTTCATTGTGGATTTGTTGCGTTTCTTTATTGTAGACCAACGGCTTCTAACTTAATTATGTACTTTTTGGACTTATTTGCAATTTTTTCAAAGAGCATAATTTTAAAAAAAAGGCATAATTTGGAAAAAAGAGCATAGTTTTAGCATAATTTCGCCGAAAAGAAAGCAATGCTACTAGCATAATATGCTACTTTTACTAGCATAATCTATAAAGGCCTATTTGCGATGCGTGAAAATTGCCTTTTTCTAGATTTTCTGAGACTCTGCTCCATAGGATTTTTTTCAAATCTTTGTGTATTTTCCTTTTCAAGTGCTGAAGGCAATCACTGAGAAAAATCACGGGGTCACCGGGTTAGTTTTCAAATTATTTCAGCCAAAAGCTAAAAAATGCGTCTGAATAATCCTTTGAAAACGTTGCCATGGAAACTTCTAGTGACGAAATGACACCTATTTTTGGATAGCTAATGATTAAATAATTCAACCCATGAATGCCTTCCTTTCAGATTAATACAGAAGTGCCTGGTTATCTAATTTTATCCGGAGAGGTTTCTCCATTGGACTTTGCTAAGATTTGCACAGTTACCGTTGATTAATCTTCAACTTCACTTTAACTTTCTTTCTCGTAAAAGCCTCCGCAAAGGCAAGAATCCCCCCTTAGTTTAAGGGGAAATACCTCTCTTTATTTTAGGATTTCGAAGACTCAGTTAAATAGCTTACTAAGATGAACCAATCTATTTGCGAAGAAATCATTCTCCTTCAAGCCCTTGAAAATAGAGACAAAAGCAAATCGTTGCGTTGAGTTAAATAGCTTACTAAGATGAACCGGTCCATTTGCGAAGAAATAATTCTCCTTCAAGCCCTTTAAAATAGCAATAAAAGCAAATCGTTGTTCGGGGTATTAGAATCTAGTTCCAAAAAGTGAAAAAACAATTACGATAGTCCTATGGCAAAGATTATTATAATGAGTGGGCTGCCTGTGCTTAAGAAGAAGCTGAGTGATCTCCAGACTCAACACAGCCATGAAGTGGCTGCTGATGTCTTGACCATATAAGGATCGACAACCAGTGAAGTGTTTCTGTAATTATTTATCGCATACAAGTAAACTCAATCTGTACTGAAAAGCTTTGGTAGTCACTTGAAGTCATGTGTTCTTATCAGCGGAAACAACCATGTAACAAAAAATTTTGCAAAGGATAAACTAATATCAGCGCAATGGTGGCTTTGCGCTCTATGCGCATGTAGAAGATAACGTATGTTTCTCGAGGTCAGTCCCCTCTCGATCATAAATACGTGAATTAAGCAAATGCTCCCAACTTACGCTTGTACTACTGTAAGAAAAAAATTGCGCAATAAAAAAAACTTTTGAGCCGGTGCTATAAGTGCAGCTTCAAAGTTACACATGTACGCCGTTACAGCTGCGATTTTCGCCGCGAATTATTGCTCCTATCTGGCCGCGGTTCAGGAGCTTACTCTTTTTAATTACCCTGGGTAAGCTGCGAATAAAGAAACTTAAGAAATCGCTGGCGTGCTTTGATACTGATGAATCCGTGCATTCTCTCTAACAAGCTTGTGTATCGCTATCACCATGGTCAGTTTTAGCTATGACTGGCAAAGCAAATTGTGATCCTGCGTGGCAAAACTCTTAAAGAGTGCCGTGTATTTATAATTGTCACATTTGAATCAGAAAATATAATCGCAGCGAAATTGAATCAAGTTTTTAAGCACCTAGCTGTCAGTGAGCAACTCCAGAGATATCGCAGTGACAAATTACTCTTAGATCGCGCTGAAATCGCAGCAAAGTTACACGGTATGAGAGAAAAAGAAATTTAGCTCTAGACTTCCAACCACTTTCTTAAGGTGGTATGATGCTAAGAAAACAGGAATTTGTATTATACTTTCTAAATAATTCCAAATGCTTTCAATGCTTTTTAGGTGCATCATGCACGGTGGGTGTGCTTAGAGACGTCTTCCTCGAGGATGGCAGATTCATTATAATGCTAAGTTCTGCGTACTGAGACCTTGTCATCGTCAACTTCATATCGGCCGCTGGCATCTCAACTGCATTCGAATCGAAGTACGACTAACCAGCTAACTGCTACAATGCGACTTCGAACAATTGCTTAGTCTTCGCTGACTCTGTGCGTTTGTTAAATCTTCGTTGACTTTGTGTCTCTTGGTAGATCTTTGTTGACTTTGTGTGTTTGCTAGATTTTTGTCAACTAGTCATCTAGTGGTAATTGAGCTTTAACTATCTTCCCGGAAAAGCCTTTCAAGAATCCCTGTGACTTTTAGAAGAATAGGATATATGACAACACGTCTTTTCTTTGCTTTCCCTTTTTTTGAAAATAGTCTTCATCGTGGTCTTTTTGCAATTGAACTGCAAGAGAAGAATCATTTACATGGCATATTGGGTCAGTAAACGGGACTAATACTGGAAGAGAATGAATGGCGTTCAGCTTATTTGGGTTTTTTTCTTTACTATTTCTTATTTACAAGACTCTCGGATGTGATCGATTATCATCACCCCAAGTTGCGCACTTATAGCATAAGCCGAGAAATAGTCTAATAGTGATATAAAAGCAAAATGGATGTTATAAAAAGGTTACCATGACAACACGGTGAGGTTGAGGCAACAAAGGGGAGGAAAGATTGTTACGAACGCAGACGTCTGTGTCGACGTCTGTATTTCTTTTTTCAACCAAAACGAAAAAAAGTTCACTTGTGCGCTATCGAAAATTACTCGGCTTCTACTACAAACAAGTAATAGCATGACCTCTACGTGGTCAATAATACCCTCTCGTAATATCTCAAAATCTCCCAAATACCACTCATTGCTTCGCGGCTCGTGGTATCTTGGACAATTTTGAAATAACACTGGCAGTATTATTGTCAAATACCACTACAAGTCAGGCTATTTTCTATACTAATTCAAAATCTTACGGGACCTACCTTTGTGAAACACACTTCGAACTTTTCATCCTCGCTCATTGTTTCTGTTACTGGACTGGTGTTGTGTTCGCCTGGCCTGACCTGTTTGGGTTTGACGCCTGGGTCTGTACGTTTTCGTCTTAATAAGTCCTATGCAGCAGCAGCAGCAGAGTAGAAAAATATTCCGTTAGGAATGAATGAGGTCACGCCTACAGGGCTGTCAAACGTACAGAAATGTTTGCTAACTAGGGTGGATCCGTGAGTTTTTGATTGGTGGGACCAGACTTGGGACAAGTAATAAAAATACCCAGAGGTCAGGTGGGTGGTCTGGATGCCCTAGCCCGTACCCTGCATCCGCCACGGGAGAAGTTTTTAGTGCGACGAAGACCAGAAAAAAAAAGGATCAAACAAAACAGAATCGAAGTGTCTTCAGATCAAACAAAGAAAGAATGGAAATATACATGAAACTAAATTTGAACTTACGAAAGCTTTATTTCAACCTCTACTTTTTTTGGAACAAATTTATTAACTTATTCATTAGTTTAGATTTACCTTATTACAATGACAAGTCGGACATGGTGCAGAATGGCAAGATGGAGGAAGACCTTCAGGCTGCAGTGCATAAAGACATAAGAAAGAAAAACTTAATATATGTCCTTGATGATATCTCTTGCTCGTTTTGTTTTTGTTATCAATTTATTAGTATCTCTCCGATGTTGATAATTTTCGATCAAAGCTCTCTACCAACATATTCAGCTTTGGTCTGTTAGGAAAATTAAAACGAAACTATTGGATTATTAGACTGAAATATCGTTTGATTCTAGTGTCGATACGAAGCAAGTCCTTTAGTCATGAAACAAAATAGTGCAGATCAAAGGGTCTGTTCGAATCTCTTTGAAAGCACTTCGGATCTCTTTTCTTTCCTGAAAATTCCACATGTATCAACATAGATTTAAAAGAATATTTTTCACTGAATCCGTGCAGGTATTCTTACCGGCGAGAACAGACCTCTCCACAGATTTTCAAGTTTATCGACCTCTCTCTGTCGGTTGGTCTGAAGTTGTTGGAGTTTACCGAAATCCTTTTTCTCCTCGTCTGACATTTTTTCTCGTGCCGTTGCCAAATCCTCAACTCGGTGCACCAAATCGTTATGCTCCGCTCTGATACCGTGATACGCAAAATCATGAAATTCTTGTTTCACCTTCTCACTGCATTTACAAGTCTCGGCTGCCATTGAGAGGACAGAGCTGTATAACTCTTGCAGACTTACACTGATTCTAAATAAAAGGTCTATTGTGACAGAAACTCTCAGCTTGTCTTCCTTTACTTCCGGCACTTGCAAAGGAGAAGTCACTTTTATATAGAGCTGTTCGTTGAGGTCTTTCAGCTTTTCATCAACTTCACGCTCAGCATCAGCTCTGGTATCTTCTGAATCATTCTCTCGGTGTGACACATCAAATTTGTACTCCAAATCCTGCAAAAGTTGACAGAACCCTCTTTTCCATTAAAAAAGGAAGGAATGTGAGACATAAGTGATAAATAGCGTCTGTAAAAACTTGTCCATTCGGCTGACTGGGGTAAAACTATTAAAAAGACACACCGTTCGCCACAAGTGACTACTCCTTGTCCTTAGTAAGAACAATTCAGGTAAATAATGCTTTTGGCGGGCACTGATTGGCTGGTAAAGAGACAAAATCGCGCGTCAAGAATTCGATTTGTTTGATATCGATAGAAATAAACTAATTTGTTTGATTTCTGTGTGATATATACTAAAACAATTATTCATCTTAGTGTTGGTGAGAGTGGTAGGTATTTACTTCCCACTTTGGGGTGCCTAGCAAGGAAGGGGTGCGGGCACTTGTGTTATGCTAATGAGCTTCGAGCTACGCGCGACGGTTTAAGGGAACATGAACAAGAACAGATCAGAATATATGATTGCCAACCTCTTGAGCATTAGAAGTGTCTTGAAGTTTTTGTTTTACTATGGCCAGTTCCTCCTCCAGTTCCAGATTCCTTTGTGTTATACTCTCATTTTCCTTTTCTAGCTGCTGGATTCTGTCTTGCAACTGGTGGCGTTGTTAAGTGATAAAAATATAAATCCGTTTCAAGTTAGTAATAGATATCTCCGCTAAGAATCAGGAGAAATGCATTTTATCAATGAAAGAATTTCGTACCTCTATTTTTAAGAGTTCCCAGTTTTTCTCCATTTCATTTATTCTATTTTCTATCTGAAAAAAGATAACAAGAATGTCAAAATTTCTTAAGGCAGTGACTTACAGACTAAACCCTTACAAAGTTCAAACGTTTTTGGAAATAGCACTGTTTCAGCCCTAACAGTGGAAAAGAATTAAGGAGAAAACGCTTTTAATTAGTATCCTTTCAACATAGAGTTGGGTGATACGTTCAGGACAGACATCGAATAAATAGTAATGTCTCGTTAACCGCAATACGGCAAAGTTTGACTTACGCACAAATACGATCAAAGCAGTTTAAAGATAGTATTTGCTACACATGTAAATCCATATTTTCTTCCATCAAATTTAATGATTTAACCCACCTTTACTGCAACAGGAAAGTCGTCTCAAATGTGCAGCTTTGCTTAACATTTGCAATGGTATGTGAACATTGAGTAAATGCGGTATTTACCATCTTTACTTTGCGTGCAAATATAATGCAATCAAAAAAATTGCATCGGAGAAAATATGAACTAAGTCGATCAAATGTGGTATTTACTTCTTATTTACTATGATTTTGCTACGGTTGTAATTCAGTTTTTTCGGCGTGCAGTGAGTGCTCTTAGCCAGTAATTTATACCGAGCGCTTTATTTATATGGAGACCCTTTGTAAATAGCCCTTGTTTTGGTTGTACCATAATTATGTTGTAAATAATTATTCAATTCAGCCTTTGGCTGAGACTTAGTTATTCCTATCGATTAAACTATCTATCTCGACTCATAAGGAGGTCTCAGGCCTTATCTTCAAACATAGATTATTTTAAGCCGATTTTTGAGTATTTACTTGATCAGAGGCGTTTACTCCTGGTTCTTCCTTCACCGGTGAATACAAGGAATCTGAAAAATAACAGTGTATTGGAAAAATCTTACAGGCACAGGTTTGTACTTTAGCCTTATAAAATGAAAGATATATATATATATAGTTCACCCCAATCGCTTGTCAACCATCGCTTTGAGTAGGGAGTAACATTACATACTGAGAAGTTTTTCCGCCACGGTCTTCAGCCCTATCTTTATTAGAGCTTCAGCAAGCCTTCCGACAGTAGCGTCCTCTCCCTCCTGATTAATCCACCTTACTATGACTGCGATGCAGCATTCATTAGTAGAAGAGCCACAGTCACTCTTGATGGTGCCAATGACAGCTTGTGTGAACTTCAGTTGTCGTGCCAATTCTCTCCAATTGTTTCCAATCAGTTGATGCAGTAGGTGATCATTCATGATGTCCTCTGTCATCCGAAGTTTCCGGCTGCATTTGCTGTTAGAACAAACTGCTAAAGATACCATAACTTAGAGTTATACAGAGCGCATGCAAAGACCCACTACTCGGAAAAGTAGTGATGAAGAAAACGTGCAGAAGTGACCATGATAGACAGACAAATGTTCTCGATGATCTACGAAGTGCTGCCAATGAGTCAGTAGCTTTTTCATGCGTTACTGATTGAGCGTGAGGTAAAGTTTCTTGGGTATAAGGGAAGGTTTTGTATCCGTTATCTTGGTAGACTAAAACCGAATCCGATTGGCTAGTTTAGCCAATAAAAGAGAAGTACATACTGTAGGAAATAAATCTCTGCGCAGACTTGTTGGTTACAAGCCGAGCCCCCGATCACTTTGTAGACCCAAAAGATATGAGTTATCTCATGTAGTGGTCGTCCAAACGGGAAAATAAAACCCTAGACAAAATCACAATATTAGCATTGGCATCTAGCAACCTTAACCCAGAGCAACGTTACAATGGATGAAACTCCTCTTCTATTAATTTTTAGGCAGGTTTGAATAATGACATTGCTGGCAATGTCTATTAAGCCACGATTGCCTTTGATGATCCAAGTATGGAGGCCATTCAATTATTGTAACAGTTAGCCGTAAGCTGCAGGAATAATAAGGCTTCTTGGTCAAAAACCAATGAGGATGTTTATAAAACGATAAGTCTTGCGCGTGAAAGGTTATTGATGTAAAAAACTGCCAATTTTGTCAGCTGTGAACTACATCTTAAGCCGTACTTAAGACGCCTTGTAAGATATGCATATTTAATCCCTCCATTGGACGGGAATTTTCCCTCTACCCGACAGTTGTCGGAATGTTATGTAACACTATGTAGAAATTGAGAGTAAGGGGCAAAGTAGATTCGCAACGGAGTCATGCGCAATCAACAGATGATTGAAATATGCACACGCGGAAACGAAACTGGGAGATCAAATTGAAATTAAAGGGAATGCTGGTTCACCGAGTTTAAGATATTTTAGTCATATGAGTTTAAGATATTTTAGTCTGTCATGAACGAAGAATTTAAGTTAGTAGCTAAGTACTGCGCTACAAACAAATTATCTATGAACTTTTCAAAGACAAATTACATCCTAGTCTCATCCTCAAGATTAAGTGGAAGTATAAATGTAAATAACATTAAGATCCAAAGCCAAATAAAATACTTGGGTGTCTATGTTGATCAACACTTACACTGTGGACCTCAGATTAAACATATTAACAATAAATTAGCAAAAAATATCGGAATTATTACTAAATTGAGACACTATATAAATCTGCATACTCTGAAACAATTGTATTACTCTTTCATCTATCCCTATTTGACCTATGCTATCACTAGTTGGGGAAGTGCTTGCAAAACTAGACTAAATAAAATCAGAACTAAGCAAAATAAATGCATTCGTTCAATTTTTTTTGCACACAGTAGAGAGAATGCTACGCCTTATTATAATTTATTGGATATCCTAACAATTGATAATTTTTTCAAACTACGGAGTGCATACATTTGAGAAAAACTTAAACTCTCAACGCCAATGCTGGCACGCAATTTCAGTGTAAGAAATGCATTCACACGGAAATTAAACAATATCGGAACTCGGCTTAAATAAAAACTCTAGAAATTCCGTCTTGAAGTACTTACCCATATCTGAGGATTTAGTGATGTTATCCATGGGTCTTGTATCTGGTGATTGAGTCTAGTGATCGAACAGCATCGATTGTCAGACAAACCAAAATCAATTTACAAGACAGCAAAAGACGTATGAAAGTTTCTACGTAAATAAGCGCAGAGCAGTTTAATTGGCCCTTTTGTTTACCTGTCTGAAGGGTGAATCGTCTTTATCTGGACAGAAAATGTACGATTTACGCACTCTTTCCTGTATCGAGACTTCCGCGCAGTGTTGTGCACTATTTTCCTTTTTGCCGAATTTATATTACTTTGGCAAAATTAGCTTCTGTGCACGAACCTCTGACGCAAAATCTTCAGATAACAAATGAGACTGATAAACACAGGCTGTTTCTTAGCAAGGCGACCGCCAGTTGCCATGAAATGTTCAAAGTGGAATTGTGTGCTTTAATTTTGTGCAATTAAGGCATTTGAAGCTTAGATGAAAGTTATTTCCTCACCACTTGAAGCTATGACGTCATGCGTAGATTATATGGACCAGTGGACAGTTGATGATCTAGAATTTTTAAAAATAGCTTGTCAAAGTCTATAATGTAGAGCTTAGGAGGATTTTAGCCAGCACTAATTGGAGCTTTGTGCTCAGACTTCCAAGACATATTTAAGCTAAATGAATATTATTTCCTGGGTGCTTGGAAGCTATAACATCAAATGATGACTACATGGACCATTGGATCGTAACTAATCTAAAAATTATAAAAATAGCTTTGAGAAATGCTGATAGGGGTTTTAAAGGAGACTAGTCAGATATGTTAATTACGGGACAACAGATTAAAAGTATATTAGAATTGATGCATGCTGCTCAAAGTCACTATAACGTCTTCACATTTAATTTTTGTCCCTTGCTAGTTTATTAATTAATTTACAATGATTAAAACGAATCTAGACTGATTGAGTTTATCAATTTATCAATACAGTGTCAGGTCTCGAGTTGTTTAAACAGTTTTTGTTCTTCCTCATTTGACAAGTTTCCAATTGTTCATCCGCCGTTTTTTTTAAAGCTCAGTTGCTGCAGCATCCCTTTACTTGTGCGGCAAACTTTCCAGGCTCTCAATGACTAAGGCTCAGAAGCAATAAACTTAACAATCCTTATTTGGTGAATAGTTCTCATTACGTAAACTGCAAAATCGTCACGATTTTAATGATTAGAAATCAGATATTTATATGAACGTGTATAACTTAAAGACAAGGAGCTTAATGGTTTATTCGTTTCACATATTTCTGTACATGATGAAAAAAACAACAAAGACAATAAATTGCTGCAATTGAAAATTTCTGTTCAGCAGTTTCAGTTTCGACAGGAAGATGTGGTCGACTTTGACACAAATTTATGCAGGTCAAAACTGAGGTGAGATAAAAAAAATAATTGATCTAATTACCTCTTCGGAAACACGATCTCTGCATGCAACTGACGTGGTATTGATCAGAAATTTAATTATTAACACTATTATATCTTAGAAAAACTCTAATCGCTTCTGCGTGTTCTGCACTATATTTGATTTTGGACCGGAAATTATAGATGAACCATAATGATTAAAGGGGCTTTCCCACAGAGCATAATTGGGGTTTTTCCCTAGCTTCATATACTTTTCAGTACCTTACAGATCTCGAAGAGAATGTTGACGAAAGTCATTAAATCTAACATGTGAAAAGTTTCCAAGTGCAAGTTTCTTCTTACAGACAGAGGTGCCTAGTGATTTAATTTCCTCCATATAGCTTTCTCTATTAGACCTTTCCAAGATTTGCACTTTTACCGTTTGTTATTCTACAAATTCTCTTTCTCTTTCGTGGATGCCTTTGCAAAGAATAGCAAGGCTCTTGGCATTTGTTTAGGGGAATCCCCTTACTTTAAAGGGTTTCCCCATTTCATAAGGGACTTCCCTCTCTTCAAAAGAGGACTCTAGTCACGAACTCAAATAGCTTGTGAAGGTGATTTCATTCACCTGCAAAAAAAGCTGCCATTTAAAGTGCGTGGTGTTAGAGTCTCGCTTCAAAAGAAACTTATCCAATTTCCGTAAAGATGTACAAGAAAAGGAAAGAAAATCCGTACAAAATGCTGACGTGAGCGCACGGAACGAAACGAACACAAGTGGCCATTTGGAATCAAGCGATACGAGACAATTTCGTGACGCATAACATGACGCATGAATCCTCGTTACCAAGATAAAGATCATTTTAATCTTACGATTTTATTTAGCTGCGATTTGAGAAACATGCAAATAGCCTTCCATTTAAAGTACCGAATTAAAACAAATGGCAGTAAGAAATGCCAAAAGAAAACGGTTGCACTCTCTCACTGACGCCTTTCTATATCAGCGCTTTGACGGCCTATAGACCAATTAGGATGCTTGTTCGGATGCTTGTAAATTCTTAAGAAGACTAACAAAATTGCACAAGTCCGTTATAGGATCCGCGCGAAAGAAGCAAACTCGAAAGACAACAATACCGAGCTGTATAATGTCGTGATAACAGACAAAAGACAAATGGCGGAGCTTTTTAATAGTTATTTTGTCAACATTGTGGACGGCATGCCAGAGATTACTGAACAGAGATATGGAAAAGAGTTGGATGCGCATCCTAGCATTCAGGCGATTTTCAACAACAATGAACAGCTCGCTGTGAGAAACAAATTTGCTTTTCAATATACTAATAAAACCCAAGTGGAAGCCTTGTTACTCAAAATCAACTCCCGCAAAACCGGTGGTCATGACAGAATACCACCGCGACTGGTAAAAGAGTCTGCCAACGCGATTGCTGGTCCTATTGCTGCAATAATGAATCACTCGATCAGGACAGGACAGTATCCGTCGCGCTGGAAACTAGGTCAAGTTACTCCTTTATTTAAAAAGGACGATGAACTGAACAAAAGCAATTATCGACCAGTGGCCGTTCTACCTGCGCTCAATAATGTTTTGGAGAGGCTGCTTTCAGCTCAAATGGGCGATTTTTACCAAAACATATTGTCTGAATACGTATCTGCGTACAGAAGGCACCATAGCTGTGAGACATCTTTGCTTAGGCTGACTGAGGACTGGAGGCGTAGTCTAGATAATAGAGAGATCGTGGCGATTATATCAATGGATTTGTCAAAAGCTTTCGACACCGTACCTAATGCTTTGCTGCTAGCGAAACTGAAAGCGTATGGTTTGCATGAATCCAGCTGTGCCCTTATCGGTGACTACTTGACGGATAGAATGCAGCGAGTGAAAATTAGTGATACTTATTCGGATTGGATGAGCGTGAAGCGTGGCGTGCCTCAAGGCAGCGTCCTGGGACCCATGTTTTTCAACATGTTCCTCAGTGACCTCATCTTTCACATTAAGTCTGTAAAACTAAACACTTATGCTGATGACTGCCAACTGCACACATCTGACGTAGACCCAGTAGCCTTGGAACAGCGGATCAATCATGATGTACAAATAGCAAACAAATGGTTCGAAGACAATGGGATGAAAGCCAACCCCGCTAAACACCAAGGGATGGTTTTTGGCAAAACCGATTATCCTTTCTCCTTCTCAACCACAAGATGCCTGGAACTTTTTGGAATAATTCTTGATCATGAACTTAATTTCAAGGAACACATATCCTTTGTATGTAAAAAAATAAATTATCAATTCAGTGTCTTCAAAAGATTTGGCAAACTTATTTCTACCGAAATTATGCTTCGCCTTTATAAAACGTTTATGTTACCCCATTTTCACTACTTTTCAATGATATGGCATTTTTGTAACTCAGAGGACTCTGTTAAACTGGACACCTTAAAGAGACGTATTTTAAGATTTGTTTTAAAGGACTGGGACTCGAACTATGATGATCTTTTAGACAAGGCAGGTGTGTGCGGTTTAGCCAACGGGAGGATACAAAATATGATGATTTGCATATTCAACTGTCTCCATCTTGATAAATATCCGTGCTATTTGAAACAACTGATGAAGCTAAGATCTACTGCTTACTCCCTAAGGGGCACCAATATTTTATCACTTCCTAGGCCGTTTACAACCACATATGGTCTAAATTCTTTTAGCTATTCAACTGTTAAGTACTGGAACTCCCTCCCTGACCACTTTAGAAAGACTGTAGATTATAGTGAATTTAAGCGCAAACTGTTAATGAACCGTTTCTGTTAATATTACATTAATATTACATTATATTATTATATTAATGATTATTTTATTATTATATTATTATATTATGAATTATTTTTTTATCTTTTTAGCTTTGTTCTTGCGGTAACTTTTAAAATTAGTAATTAGGATCGGAGATACTAGCTTGTAAGCTACACTGAAATCCGAGGATAAATAAAGCTTATGTATGTATGTATGTATGTATGTATGTATGTATGTATGTATTCTCTGACCGCTATTCTGTTTCAAACGCCATTTGCGCTATTTTCTTCTTAATCACAATTGTTTCTAGTGCCTTTGCTTTTTAAAATTAAAGCTTTCACGGAGTCCTCATCAACTGAAATTTACAGAAAGTGCTTGAAACTTGGCAAAACTGACAGCAAACGCGGAATTGCTTTAACTCCTAAGTGCACTTTCACTTGCAAGTGGTTTTCGTTCTCATCAGAATAAGATTTTTATTAAATTTCTAAATAAAAATCCTATTTCTAGAAGCCAGAAAATGGGAACTTCTCCTTCTCGGCGAGCATTTTCGGGAAATCTAGTCTGGAATTTCCGAACTTCTTTCACTTTTGCTGCGCAGCGAAAAATAAAGGACAAAAACGGCGCAAACTGTCAGTAATACATTTTAATAATGATAAATATTAGAAAAACAAAATCTTTCTCGTTGTTTTCGGCATTTAAAGCGTCCTCTGTCTTCTGCGGATTTAAAGTACTTTTATAATCTTCCTGATTTCCGCTGGTGAGATGAGTATTCGATCATTAACTGATATCACAAGACAGGCCCCTCTTCCGTTCCGCTTAAAGCTGACTCTCAGAAATCACTCTTCTGCAAAGAAGATATTATGGTAAATACCGTTACTGATACGTGACAATACACAGGGGAAATATTTAGTAAAGGTGGGTTAAAGATGGTGTAAAAAAGGCTGAGGAATGTTGAAATCACTCTTTTGTATGCAATTCAAATGATTTCATCGTCTTTCAATTGAATAGTAACTTGAAGAAAACTTACGCACCCGATTTGGCATTTTAAATGATACGATAAGCTAAATTACACGCGCATTTTTATTGGTCTAGAAGACAGACTCATAGATTACGTCACCATCACCAAGATTTTGCTTCTTTATCAAATAAAACATAAATTTCATGCTGCCGTGCACGGGTATGTGCATCAAATAAAGATTATTCCATGGAAAGTGCGTGCGAACGATTTTAACTCATTTGTTGTAATATCTATATATACTAATTGTGAATTGTAGCCAGCACTGTTAAAAAGGGCTCGATACACATTTGTGTAGAGCGGTATATAACGTTAAGTGACTAGAAGGAAACACACATGATTCGCTGCAACTCTGAGTTTCGTGCGTTAAGCACTCATCAGGCAGATTTGCCTGATGAGTGCTTCATAAATTTTATTAAAATTTTTTATATTTTTGACGTCAGAAGTCGTCCATCCTCGCAATTTTTAAACTTTCTACGTTCGTGTTTGCTGTGAGGTTTGGACTGCGAATCTTTTTTGATCCTCCTGGCACGGTGCACCTTTTTTGGCCTGAGAGTTCCACTAACGACTTGCTATATATATATATTTAACAATTATTCCACGAGCGCGCGTTGGATATGAGATCATAGATAGCCAACGAGGTGCGTAGCGCCGAATTGGCTATAATCATCTCATATCCAACAAGCGCGAGTGGAATAATTGTTTTATTAAAAACG